TAATGGATCCTTTGTTTACTAACAACGTTGTCTTTTAACAGACACACCGTGCAAGAGAATTTTGAGAGGACAATGTTATAACAATGGATATTGTCATGGAATGTTTACAGTAGGCAACTTCCAAATATATTCATTACTAGAATAAACTTACATTCTTTGAGGAGGAAAAACATCAAGTAGTGAAAATATGATGTCATAAACACCTGAAGAATTGGAGGAAATACATCTGTTTCTTGCCATATTAGCCTAGGTTGAAGCTCATTCACCTAGTAGGCTTGGGGATTTTAAGAATTATTGAAACTTTGGGTAAAAAGGGCAAAATCGTACATTTACAGCTTGATATCACTGATACCAATAACATTTCCATAGGCATAAGACTAGTTCAAGCTTATTGGACTTCTCTATGATAGTGTGTGGTCCCATGGTACAAGTTTACTGTACTGTAACACATGGGCTTGTGCCACAGCTGGCCAAGTGGCCAGATTCATACCAATGTCTATTAAAGCTGTTGGATTAGTGAACTGCAACCTGCAGTACATCTAGATTAAAGTTAAAGCACATATATTTATAATTCTACCTGTTCACAATTTTTATCTCTTCATAGTGAAGAACATGAACAGTACAAACAACTTCTAAAATGAAGAACTATCTTTTACTCTGAAAAATGATTATATACTATATAACATACCTACTACTGTTCATAGTCTCTAGAATTAGTTATCATAAAGAGAATTAATGAGTAGAAAACTCAGTTCATCTCCTTAGTCCAGATATTTATTTCCAAGCCTAAATACACTTGTACATGTATCTAATAATGGTTCCACTTATACTTATTCATAAAATATGAAATATAGGAATGATAAAGAATAAATGCTACAAACAAGGTTTCAGTAGCACCTTTCATCTGTAAAGTCTTATCACATACTTATCTTTAAGAGAGTAGATTAAATGAAAAGAGGAAGAGAATGTAAAGAAAGGGAGAAAGAAATAGGAAAAGAAAAGAAGAAGAAATAGATGAAAAAAACAAACAAAAAAACAATCATAACAGCAAAATTAAAAATCAAAGAAACAGTAAAAGTAAAAGAAAAATCAAACAAACAAATAAAAAAGGAAATGCTATATAAGAAAATGAAAATACAAATGACTGGGAAAAGAAAGAGAAACAATGAAACACAAAAAATGAAAAAGGAAAAAGGAAAAGAAAAAAAATAAAAATAAATAAAATAAAAATAAAATATAAATAACAAAAAAGACAAATAAAAATAAAAGACAAGAAAAAAGAAAGAGGGAAAGAAAAAAAAAAGCTATAAAATAAAAGGAATAAAAGGGAAAACAAGAGAAAAATTAAGGAAGAAAAAAAAGGAGGAAGAGAAGAAAAAGAGGAAGAAGAAGAAGAAGTGGAACTGAAAAAAGAAGAAAAGGAGAAGAAAGAAGATGAAAAAGAAAAAGTGAAAAGAAGTAGAAGATGAAGCTGATGAACAATGACAAAGTAGGAGGAAGTGAGAAAGGGTTGAGCTTGTCTTTGATTTAAAAATAATAATATTTGTGTCTGGTTCAACATTTTCTACTTTGTAATTCATGCTGATAGCTTAACAAAATATAATCCTTTGAATCTAACCTTTGTTTTAAATAAGACATTAAATATATGATATTTTCTCCAATGCCAACATATCATAGTAATAACTAAGATGTAATCTAAAAGCTTCAATATACTTTCCCAGCATTCATTAATTACATACAAAATAGCCGTAAACTAACACAATCATAAACGGTATCCTTAACAAAATAAAGACTGAAAATTACATAATGAGCCATCTTAACACCCTTAAATATATTCTTGGTCAGAGGGTATATGCTGTTTTCTTAGAGAAAATATATGATCTTCAATCTCTTTTCTTTAAACTTCTGAACCAATTACACCACTGCCAAGAAACAGGTGCTCATTAATGCTGCATAAAACATGCACACATGCATGCACCCACAACAGAAACATACAAAAAACATACAAAACACACGTGCACACACACACCTAATAAATTACTTAATTCTTAGTAAATGCATATTCTTAATAAATACTTGCATACTGCAAGTTTTCTCAGGATATCATCCAATTTGCCACCTTTTCTCCCATGGGCACTGAGCTCTTCAGAACAAAAGCATGTGCGTGTCCTTCCTGACACACTTGGGCATTAACTCTTTTCACCTTTGCTACCAGATCCTGGTGATAGGACAAAGGACACCAGCCATCATTTGCTCCGTAATATAGCATTACCTTGCTCTTGTGTTTCTCAAGTGCTGTTAGATTGGGCATAAGTACTTCATTCAATTCACTATATGCCATCCAGAGGACATTCTGTATAATCTTGGGATTCAAGAGCTCAGTTGAGGCCTTTATTACATGTTTATGTGCTTTTCTTCCAAAATATAGATAGAGCAAGCTCTCCTTTATCTTCTTTGGTATAAAACTTGCAATGATGGCCAAGAAAATGGTAAGCCAACG